GATACTACAAGGTTAAAGAGGAGTTGAAATTAAGTAAAAATGAAATTAAGGAATTAAAAGAAGATATTGCAACATTAAGAGATGAAAATCATGTTCTGAAGAAATCAAAGGGTAAACTCAAGAATAATAAAACTCTTGAAGAGCTAGAAGAATTAAGAGTTAGAAATAATGAACTTGAAAGAATGATAATAGACTCTAGGACTAAACTTCTCAAAGCAAATACTAAGATAGAGCGATTAGAAGGAAAACACAAGGAAAAGAAGCCTAAAGAAGAGGCTCAAAAGCCTCACAATAAATTAATTATGTGTGTTGAATGCAATAGTGAAGATAATGACAAAATTAGGTGCATGAATTGTGGAAAGAATCACCATAGTAAAGAATGCAAGAAATACGTGAGGTGTAGTAAATGTACTGGACCGTGACATACTAAACAAGAATGTCATTCAAGAATTGTATGTTATTGTTGCCATAAACAAGGACATATTAGGAGAAATTGCTACTACAATAACTACTATAAATCATATCAATTGTATCCCAAGAAAAAGGTACCCAAGCAAGTCTGGGTACCAAAATCAACACTCTAAATATTTTGCAGGTCATTAAGAGAGTAGGAGCAAACAAATGGTATCTAGATAGCGTATGCTCTCACCATATGACGGGAAACAAGAGTCTATTTTCAGAGTTAACTCTTAAAAAGGGAGGTAAAGTAACCTTTGGTGATAATGGTAAAGGTAGAATACTTGGAGTTGGAACGATAGGAGAGCCTCCAAATCATACCTTCACCCAAGTGTTCTTTAAGCACAACTTGTTATCTATTAGCCAATTATGTGGTACAACTAATAGAGTTGTGTTTCAACCGGAGGCATGTCTTATTGAGAGGATCAAAAACAATAAATTATTATTCCTAGGGGTCAGGAAAAACAATGTCTATGTCATTTATCTTAGTAAAAAAGGCTTCATTCTATGAAACCTGCTTTCTTTCTTTAGGTAAGAACAAGCAATTTCAATGGCATCCAAGACTAGGACATGTTAGCATAAAGAGATTGGCTAAATTAGCTAAATTGGGTTTAGTAGATGGTCTCCCTCAACTAAAAGAATCAAAGGACTTCTTTTGTGATGCATGTATTCTAGAAAAAAAACTCGAGCATCCTTCAAGAGTATATCTCACTTTACTTCATCCAGACCTTTAGAGCTTCTACATCTAGATCTGTTTGGGCCTACGAATGTGATGAGCTTTGGTGGAAAGTATTATGCCTTTGTCATAGTAGATGACTTTTCTAGGTATACATGGGTAATCTTTTTGACTCATAAAGATGAAGCTCTTGAGAAATTCAAGATCCTTGTCAAAAATATTCACAATGAGAAATCCCTCAATGTTAAAAGCATCAGAAGTGATCATGGAGGAGAGTTTCATTCAGAAAGCTTTGGAAACTTCTGTGATCAACTAGGAATCTCCCATGGATTTTCAGCTCCTAGCCTCAACAAAATGGTGTAGTGGAGAGGAAAAATAGAGCTCTTATATAACTAGCTAGAACAATGCTCAGTGACTATAGGCTTCCAAAATATTTTTGGGCTGAAGCAGTAGCTACCGCTTGTTATGTTATAAATAGAACATTGATTAGGGCCATCATAGAAAAAACCCCTTACGAAATCTGGAAAGATCGCCGACCAAATATTAGTTATCTTAGACCATTTGGGTGTAGATGCTTTATACTCAACACTAAGGATACTCTAGGAAAATTTGACTCAAAGTCATATGAAGGATTACTTTTGGATATTCTACTCGTAGTAAAGCCTATAGAGTCTTCAACAAGAGATCCTTGAAGGTCGAGGAATCAATACATGTTTTTTTTATATGAAACTGACTATATCTCTAAGCATGAACGAGAGCATAATGATGATAAGGATGATTTGGGCCTAGTTCGAACAACGACAACCTCAGTCACTCAAGAAGTAGAGCTTTCACGTGATGAGTTACCCAAATCCCAAGAGCCAAGTGCGCCACTTCATATTGCTAAGGCACATCCTCCGCATCAAGTCATGGGCAACATCAATGATGGGGTCAAAACAAGATCAAGTAAGGACTTTGATCAAGGTCAGACTTCCTACTTTTCACTTCTTGATACAGTCTATCTATCCTTAATTGAGCCTAAAAATGTTAAGGAAGCCTTACTTGATGAAAGTTGGCTTCTTGCTATGCAAGAAGAAATGCTTCAATTTGCTAGAGCTCAAGTATGGAACTTGGTTCCTAGACCAATAGGTAAAACATTCTAGGACTTAAATGGGTCTATCGCAACAAAACAGATGATCAAGGGATAATTAATAGAAATAAGGCTCGATTGGTAGCTAAAGATTATAATAAAGAAGAAGGAATAGACTATGATGAAACATTTGCTCCCGTAGCCCGTATTGAGGCAATTAGATTATTGTGTGCCTTTGCTTCCTCAATGAATTTCAAATTATATCAAATGGATGTCAAAATTGCATTTCTAAATGGAATCCTTCATGAAGAGGTCTATGTAGAACAACCCCCTGGTTTTGAATATCATAGGTTTCCCAATCATGTTTTCAAACTTAAAAAGGCTCTATATGGCCTAAAACAAGCTCCTCGAGCATGGTATGAACGTCTAACTCAATTTCTAGAAAGTGAAGGGTTTCTCAGAGGTTCTTTTGGTACAACCCTATTTCTCAAAAAACATAACGATTACCTTATAGTTGTCCAAATTTATGTTGATGACATAGTTTTTGGTGCTACTAATGAAGCTATGCGTGTAGAGTTTGCCTCCTCCATGCAACAAAATTTTGAAATGAGTATGATGGGTGAGCTTACCTACTTCCTAAGACTTCAAATCCAACAAACTTCAAAAGGAATTTTCATTAGTCAGACAAACTATACTCAGTCAATGTTGACCAAGTTTGATCTTAGTAATCTTAACCCTAGTTCGACCCCAATGGCTACCCAATATCCAATTAGACAAAGATGAAGGTGGTATAGATTTCGATGAATGTAAATACCGTGGGATGATAGGCTCGCTTCTCTATCTTACGACAAGTAGGCCAGACATTATGTTCAGTGTTTGTATGTGTGCTCGTTTTCAATCCAAGCCTAAGGAAAGTCATCTTAGTGTCGTTAAGCGCATCTTCCGTTACTTGAAAGGTACACCCACTATAGGCCTATGGTATCCTAGGGAAACAAATCCTGAGCTTATAGGGTTTAGTGATTCAGACTTTGCCGGTAGTAGAACGGATAGAAAAAGTACCTCCGACACCTGTCAATTTTATGGTCGATCCTTAATTTCATGGTTTAGTAAGAAACAACACTTTGTAGCACTTTCCACCGTCGAGGCTGAGTATATTGCCACAGGAAGTTGTTGTCAACAACTTTTATGGTTAAGGACTCAACTAGCGGACTATGGGATTACGGTTCCTACTTTTCCCATTTTGTGTGATAATACGAGTGCCATAAATATGTCCAAGAACCCGGTTCAACACTCTAGAACGAAACATATAGAGATTAAATATCATTTCCTTCGAGATCTAGTTTAGAGTAAAACCGTGTCGATCTCGTTTATACCTATGAGTGACCAGCTAGCGCATATTTTCACTAAACCACTTCCTATAGATCAATTTTTTATTTATTCGACGTGAGTTAGGAATGATATTCCAATCTGATCTTGCTAGTTTTGGATCCTGAACTTACCTTCTCTTGATTGTTCGTTTGCCTCTTTGTCTTTCCATTTGTGTTGACCTAGAATCTTATCTAATAAATCAAAATTTGCTAATAAATCATAATAATAACAATAAATAAAAAGAGAAAACAAAGAAAAATAAAAAACGACAATCCCAGCTGCGCACAGATCTCGTCCTTTCCAGCGACCGGTCTCGAAGTTTCCAACCCTTTCCCTTTTTTCTCTGTTTGCGATTCTCAATCGCATCATTCTCGCCGATTCTAAAATACAGATTCTCAATCGCATCTTCCCTTACTCCAATTCTCCATCCTTCCCCTTCCTGACTTCCTTTTCAATCGCCGATTATGATCTTCTCAACTCTCCCGACGAAAACACCAGTGCTCCTTTCTATGGTACCCAGGGGGAAATCCGGGGTACCGCATACCTTGAGTAGGAAAACGCTATCTAGAACTTGCATTGACTGATCTTTTGGACATGATACTATACTCTAACCCTTAAAGATCAAAATCTAGGTCTTAATTGTCTAAATCTTATACCTCAAGATCAATTTAATTAGAAACAATAATCGACGATTATGATTCATCAAAATATAGGCAAAAAAATCAATGCACCATCTTAGGGTTTATAGTTTATGATTTAGATAATTAGGACCTAGGGTTCACTCATTAAGGGTTAGGGTATAGTATCATGCCCAAAAATCCTACTATTTCGAGGTCTAGATAGCATTTTCATACTCAAGGTATGCGGTACCCCTGATTTCACCCGGGGTACCGTAGAAGGCACCATATATATATATATATATATATATATATATATATAGCGTACACACGGACGTACCCTAGCTTACCGTACGCCCGTTGAGTTTTGCTATTTAGACAATGAATTAACCGAAGTTTGGGGCATGATATTATACGCTAACCCCTAATGGGTAAACCCTAGTCCGCAATTCACTAACCCAAAGCATAATATTCATTTAATCTTGAAATGAAAATCAACGGTTCTGATTTGTCGAAATTATTGTTGATTTTCATTTCAAGATTAAATGAATCTCATGATTTGGGTTAGAAAACTAGGGACTGGGGTTTATCCATTAGTGGTTAGGGTATAGTATCATGCCCAAAACTCCGGTTAATTCATGATCTAAATAGCAAAACTCAAACGGGCGTACGGTAGTCTAACGTACGCCCAGGCGTACGCTAGCCTAAACAATATATGTATATATACTGCCTGCTTTTCAATCCTGCTCCGCACCACGAAAATCATTACCAAACCACCCTCCCTTCTCATTTCCTGGCTGCTATCGACGACATCATGAGTTTCCTCTCTGATGAATTGTTTGTCATGACTCTAGCGCTTTTTCACCGCCAGCAGAAGATTGTTTCGTTTACCGGCGCACTCTATCCTCATCCTGTTGGTGAGAATCGTCATCACCAGCTCCATATTTTTGCAGCAAAGCCAATTCTGCCGATTTGTACTCTTGATCCTTATGCCTTCGTCTTCGTCGATTCTGTGGATCCCATCTCGCTCATTGACAACCTGGGTTGGCTCCCAATGGGTGATTCACCTCCTCGCAGCTACTGTCCAGCGGCCGTTTGTGCCTTCTATTCCAAACTCCGGAATGATGGGCTCGCAACGGGCAAATTCACCACTCTGGTATATGGTCATCTGCTTACTTTTTCTGTTGATGATCTTGCTGCGTTCCTTATTCTACACACTCAAGGCAAGCAGCTCATTAGCCCTCTGGAGTTCTGGTCCTACAAGTTTGACTTGCACCAGGAAGCCACAAATCGCTCCTTTGATTCGTTGGATGACTGACTCAAGCTTCTACACTACTACATCACACGAGTGTAGTTTCCTCGCACTGACAACTTGGATGTCGTTCTGCCTCATGACTTTTGGGTTATGTCCCACGCCATCTTGGATATGTCGTTGAGCTACCCTCATCTGCTGTTTTGGGAAATCGTGGATGCCGCCACCAACGAATCTCCGACGGTGGGTCTTCCTTTTGATGCGCTGATTACGCTGTTGCTTCAGCGTGTCGGTGCGCCTCTGACTATTTTTGTCACCATCTCTGACAATTGTGTTCATCCCACCATCGTTGATTTATTATTAGGGGGAGATGACCATGTGGTCATAGACACAACTATTAGAGAAGAAGGTGTTGAGCTCGTTAAAGATGAGGCGTCTGCGGATGGTGTTGCATCTGCTTCGACTGTTGTCCGCCCCTTCAAACTCAAGTGACAGGCTAAACGACCTCGTCCTTCTAGCAGAATTCTCAAGCGTCTCAAGAATAAAAATCATCTCAAGGAGTGGTTCTTTATGAGAATCATGATCTTGAGCAAAAGAATTAAAAGCCTTAACTTAGGGGGAGCAAGTATCAAGTAGTTGCTTGTTGCTGTTTTATGGTGAATGAAGCATATGCAGTAACAAGATGCTAAATCAAGCTTAGGGGGAGAATGTTGAGTCAACAAGCTTGACTTAGCAATTTGAATATCATAGGATATTTTGTTTTGAATATATGCTATTATGTCGAACTAACAATCCATGAAGAAATATCACAATCAATGCTAAGGTAAAAGGAAAGTGATGAGCCAACTGGACGTGTGGTCTCACGTCATGGCCATGTAGAGAGCATTGGGCCAAAAAGTGGCTGAAGATTGGGAAGTTTTAAGTCGGTAGCTGCTGCCACGTAGTTGATATGATTTGTTTGGTTGGATTTCCAGATATGGTTGTTTTGGGATTGTTCCCGTAGCTGTTAGGATCTTCATTTATCTTTGTTTCGGTTAGGGGTAGGGAGATAAAGCTTGCTTGATTCTCCGCGTCAGAAAGATCAGGGTCTCAACCACTTTGTGAGCCCGATCTTCGTTATAGGTTTTTCTCCTCTATATAAAGAGGATCGAGGAAATAAAAAAGGCAGCAGAACATTAGTAGAAAAAGAGTGATCAAAACTGGCTGGTTCTCGCCGAAAAGAGAACACCATCACACCTCTGATTACCAAGTTTCAACAGAAAGAATTCAAAGTGATTGCTTTCCCACAAAGGAGTTGCCATATCAAGCAAGAGTGTATCAAATCAAGGAGATACTTTCCACGTAAAGGACTACAAATGAAAGGAAATGAAGTCTCACATCCACTATAAATAGGAGAGTCATTTGTAGGCCATGATACCTTTTGCAAAGTTCTCTCCTCCCTTGTAATAGCGAAATAGTGTGATCATATTTCGTGGTGTTAATAGCTTGATATCTCGGAGGTTGAGATATTCAAGCTAGGTTGGGTTTTAGGGGAGCAAGAGGGGATTCTTGCTTGGAAGTTGCACTAGGTGGATTACTCTTCAATCAAGTCAAACTAAGAGTGTTGGCTTGATTGATTGAGTGGGTAGCTTAGCTTGGATTTAGCTAAGGGTTGAATAGGTGTGGAGTAGCATCTATTTGGTTCTTGACACGTAGTGCCAAGGTTGTTTTCATTTCATAGGTTAGAGAGTCTTTTATCTTAATAAAAGTTAGAGTCTCTCGTGAGATAGTGGTGACTATCTCCGAGACGTGGATGTAAAGCCATATTGGCCGAACCACGTTAAAATCGTGTGTACCGAATCATCTCTCTCTCTCTCTCTCTCTCTCTCTCTCTCTCTACTTCCTTTAATTTTGTTCCTTCCAATATTGCAAAGAAGTGTAAACTTCTATCATAGTTGGAACAAGTTCGTCATAACAAATTAATCGTTTCAAGAGAGATTCTTGGCAAACCATTTTGGGTTGCTCAATCAAGCTATTGCTAATCTCTCACCATTGAAATCTGAATTAATTTGTGTATTGACCACGTCAAAAGTATTCATTACTGACCCCGCTTGGTCTAACAACACTTACCTCCTCGATACTAAAGTTGATTTTGTACTTTTCAAGTTCACCAAGACTTTTATTCTCATCATAAGTTCAAAAATTTTCTCCAAAAGTGATACATATCCAAAGGGATGCAATAAAATTCTCCAATTAGTAACTCAAAATCACGAGCTAAAAACAAACTTGAAACTTCAAAATTAACTAGGAAAGTGAAATCCGGGTTGTCTCCACGGTAGCGCTTTTGTTCAACATCATTAGTTTGACGCCATACATGGGCTTCGTCTTATGGAGAGCTGTCTCTTTTCCGCATTTGAGCTAGGCACAACTAACCTCCTTTTAAATGATGTCTTAATCAAGCTCCACTTCATCATCATCTCCATACCCAGTTGCAGCAATTGGTTCGTTGAGGATTCCATGTGATAGATAATAATGAATGAAACCTTGATACTCTTTTGAAGTCTCATATTCCAGTTCCTCGATCCTTTCAAGCATTGGCTTTGGCCTTGTATTGGCTATCTTTAGTAGCATTTGGGATACCTTCAGATTCGTAATTGGCGGAGCTTCCTTCAACTCACCTCCGTACCTTTGGTCTTGATCATGGTGATGAATTACTGTGTTTGTTGAATCCTCAAACAGAGATCCAAATCAAAATTTGATCTTATTCTCCAGGTTCTACTTTGAATACTCCTTGAATCCATCACTCCTTTTGATGAATTTCTCCACTTGATACGTGGTCTTTCTTACATGTAAAGTAACTCCATGGGCAACATCGATTCTTGCACCAATAGTGGCAAGAAATGGCCTTTTGAAAAGAATTGAGTACTCTTTTGAAAATTCTCTCATACTAAAAGTTTTAGTCCTTAAAAACTTATGCAAAAAAAAATAAAAAAATTCATGACGTTCGGATTGCAGAGCACAAAGTTATGGTCGTCCAAAGTTTGACAAAATCGAAAAATTGCTTGTTCGTGGTAGCAAACAACATTTTTTCGGGACGAAAGCAGAACCTACGACGGTTTGCGGTTAGCAAAATCTCGAAAAATTATGTGGAATCATAAAAAAATTTCTCTACGATCTGATATCGAGCGCAAAGTTATGTTCGTTTGAAGTTTCAACGCAGTCAGGCCTTTACCGCGGTCGGCAAACGCGGTGAAGCCTTCACTGCCCTCCTCTGCAGCGGTGATGCAATCACCGCCCTCCTCTGTCGTGGTGATGTTCCTCTGCCGCGGTGAATGCCCAAACATGTGTAGATTGAAAAAAAATATAATGTGTGTATTTTGAGAATTTTTTTTAAAAACATATGTTAGGTTCTTAGTATCAGGGTACTTTTATAGGATAAAATTGCCCCAGGGTTTACATATGTTAGGTTACACAAACTGAAACTGCTGACCTAACCAAGAAGAAATGAGAGTTTTCCCTAGAGCCTGGGCACTGTCGGGCACTTACTAGTGTCTGAGTTTCTCACTGGTGATGTGGTTGTGTATACGACACTGTGGTTGGGCTATATTGTTGATAGCTGCTCCCCTGCTGCAAATAAGCCTCATGGTTCACTTGTGATTGTTGTAACCTATAGTTCTCATGATTGTTCCAGTTGTAGTATTGGTAATTGGGGTGGGTCTCCACTACACCCCTATCCCTGTGACAAAAAAAATTACATGAAGATAAGCAAATGGTCATTCTCCTGTAAGATTTAACAAAAAAACCATGATTTAAGAGGATAACCTAAGGCAACAGGCGCACAGCGGGAACAGTTAATAGGTTACTCAACTCAGTTCGCATTCTTACAAGAACACATGTTACTCATAAGGTTTCTTGCAAAAATAATGATTAGAAATAAAGACAAAACCAATCCTTCTGGAAGAACCTCAGATGCCCTCTTTTCTTTCCAGTTCCAAAGACCTTAGAGCTTTTATCCATGCAATTTCCCACAACTAAAACAGCTTCTATGTCGACCATTTTGCATCTTGGAAGCAATTTCAGGAAAAAACAGGCTTCCTTGTGTACAATGTACATGCAGGATGCCCATTGCATATACAACAAATGACAAATCATTTGTCAACAAGTTACCAACAATCTAAGCGACACCTGTTCAATTAATTATTGCACCAGAAAAGAAGCTCAACATTCTTAAAAGAGGACCCAATTACCTATGATAAGGATCCATAAGTGGCTCTGCCTGTTGGACTAGTGCAGGAACAGCGTATGATGGTGGATTGACATGCGAGTAACCTTGTTGCCCCTGTTTGTAATCATACGTGGCCACTGAAGATGGATGAATATGAGGTTGTAAGGAATGTTCTAGTGGTCTTTGTTGGCCTCCGTGCTCAAGAGTTCCACTAACCGCTGCAGGAAGGACATAACCATGCTGCACAGTATTAGCTTCATAAGGATGTGATGAATAAGACAGAGTAGGAGGAGCCAGTTGAGCTTGCTGCCCCGCTGGTAGATGTGTAGTCCCTTGGATCTCTATGTTTCTATAATGTCCATACTGGTGGCCTCTATCAATTGGTATAGCATCATATTTAGCAGCTGATACTGCTGGGGTATGTTGTAATTGCAACCTAGAGTCATGTGAGTTTGTACAATAAGATGGTTGAAAAGCTGGCCGATCGTTCAGGTTTGTTGATAAGTGATCAGGAACCCCATCCTTTGTGGCTCCATAATAACCATGCTGGGGTTGTACATTGGTTTGTGTTGCATATTGGGAGCCTGATTCTGCTTGGTCATGACTTTGATGCATCGTGGTATCATAAGAATTCAAAGGCTGGGACTGATCCACACCAGCTGTACCAGACAATGCTACTGGCATTGATTCATGAGCCATTATAGGAGGCACAGATTCCAATGATCGCATTCCAAAAGGCCGAAATGCCGATAAAAGACCTTGAACCTGCACAGTGACATGACACTTATTCTTTTGCTTCTTAGCCAGAACAGAAAATGACATTGTAGAAGAATAAAGATAATAACCACTTACTTGCACATAACTTAGTTCTTGAGTGAATCTTCCCTTCTGGTAGTTCTTATGGATTATGTGCTTAAGGGTACTATCATGTACAGGCAGACAATCTCTGTCTATACGGAAGCTCACCTAAAACAAAGATAACAAAAAAAGCCAAAGTGGAGAAGAAACAAGATTATTCCTCTATCAATTGACAAGTAGTATAGCTATCCAAATCAAGAACTGATGACGCAAAGAAGCCAGCTTTAGAGGGATCATGATACAGTATTGGACACTCCAATACTGCATCATTCTTAACAAAGTCTCAATGAACTGAAAGACGAGGTTTAATGTTCATTAGTCCGACAACACCCAGTCTTCTCCCTACCTAGTAGTTAGCTTGTACAGTAACTCAACAAGTTAATTCTACTTAGCAAATTGGAAGGGTTCCACATAGTTGTCCAAATAAGTGAGAATGACAGAATAAGAAACACATTTGAATAATTGATACCCTCCAAGCATGAGCCTTCAGAGGCGTTGATTAACAAATAGAAAAGAAGGTTCGGGATTTAACCTGTGCAGGAAAATTCCCACCAAAAGCAGCAGGCTCCAAATTCAATACTCCGCAAGAGGTCGCCACATAAACACCATAGAGAAGCTTAGCATCAAAATCAAACAGGAAAAGTTTCATCCCTGGCTTGATCTTCTGAACGACGTGCAATTTAGGTATGGGAACCCCGAAAACCCGGTACTGGTAGCACTGAGGCTTTGTCTGCCTATTACAGAGGAATATGAAACCAGCAAGTGACTCCTGATTGTGAATATTTTCTTCTTTCTGTGTAGTAGTAAACCCATGGAGATGAGAATTGGGCGTATGTACCGCGAGATTGTTCCCATGAGGCATCTCTATCTTCCCATTCACATTTAGGTGGCTTGCATCCCAAGCGATTCGAGCTGAATCCTGAGCTCTCTCCATTACCATTTGATATTACTGTTCATATAGAGGAATGAGAATATCAGATGAGCAAGTCTGTTGAAGAGTAGACAAAAGCAGTGCATCAAAACCTTAACTCCCCTTCCCTCTCCAGAAGTTGGCAAAGGGGTAGCTCCAATTCGGAATTAATTTAAACTACAAGAATGGAAGAAGAAATCCCTGAACTGAACTCCCCTCTCATTCAATCAAAAGCGGCAATTGTATGTTCTTAGTAATCACGATGCCTGGCCGAGAAACTGAATTTCATTCAATAAAAACACGCAGAATCGCAGGCTCTTACGGTTTCTGCTTGGCAAGGCAATAATCGAGAGAAAGAGTCGGCGAGCGCGTAGGGAAAGAGAAACGGAGAAAGGAAAATTAAGGTCTCGCCGTCGCTGAGCTCCGGGAGGTTTTCCTTTTCCCTGACGTGGATGCCTGGAAGGAGAAACAGTTTTTTCTTTCCTATCGTTTTCTTGTTTGGGAGTGAGTAGGAGTGAGAGAAAGTATTAGGGATAGGAAAATAAATCAGATCGTTTAAAAAATCATGGACCAAATCAGATTATACAGTTTGATCTGGACCGTAGATCGTGAAGAATGATTTGGTCTAGTTTATGATCTGTATTATATGAAGTTTTGAACTCTTGAATTGTTCTAGACCGCGGTTTACCATACTCAATCGCAGATCTAGCCGACTTCGCAATACATGTTAGTATCCCACTTGACCACTCTCCCAACTCCCCCAACGAGACTCAAGTATCAACCTTAATTTTAAGAATCTCGTCCTCTCCTTCACCGACAACCACATTTCACTAGAGAATAGAGACGATCGTGTCTCTATATGACATTATGTTAATGTTTGTGACGTTATGGTGCAAGTTGGGATTTTTTGACTTTGTATCTTTGTTATTTACTAAGATTTAGGGAGTCAAAATTATTCATGCATATTGGATATTATGTTTTAAGGAAAAAAAAAATTTCCTCGGTTATTGGTTCAATTTTTAATGAGGTTGACTTAACAAAGTGTTCATTTTTTGTTCAATGTGGCCTGTCTGGACTGGACCGTACCAGAACAGACCGCACATGTATGGTCTAGTATGGACAGTATAGTATGTGGTCTGGTCTCTGGTCTATACTTTAGTCTCTCGGTCTGGACCGTAGACCGTCTATATGGTTTAGTCTGGACCAGACCACACTGTTTCACAACCTTAGAAAGTATTAGCTAACTTGTGCATACGAGGGGTAAAATACTTCGGGTACCACTTAAGTTTGAGTACTGGAGTAAAGGAAAAAATTCAAATCTACCACTGTTTAAAAAAAAATTACAAATATATCACCCAAACCGAAAATATTCCAAATCTACCACCATTATTTGAAAACCACCACCCAATGAGGCGATTTGCATATGAACCGCATGGTGAGGTCACGGTTTTTGGGAGAACCTCATGGTGAGGAGGCATTTTAATTTTTTTTTTGAACAAAACGCCTCCTAGAGAGGCGATTCATTGGCTTCCCTAGAACAAACCGCCTAAGGAGCGGTTCTACGTCGACAACATAAACCGCTCCTTCAGCATGCGGTTTATTGTGTCAACACAAAAATCGTTCCCTCCCACAACGATTTGTGCGTAGTCATCATTCCCCGACATCCGACATGTCAGCATGCAGGGTGCCGACGTGGGGCTGCATGTCAGACTAAAACCGCCCCCCTCCCATAGCGGTTTTTAGTGAAAATTTTGCCTGTAAAAGGCATCTCCGAAAGCTCAACTCTTCACCCATCTCCTTATTCTTCTTCAAATTATGTTGTGCACCTTACTTTTTTGAGTTTTTGCGATTAACGTTACTTTATAAATTTATTTTTTATTACTTTTTTATTGTGATTTTGATGGTATTAATTTAGTTACGATTTTGGTGCAGATGGCATTTCAAAAGTTCACGTTTGGGTTACGGTGGAATGGTTATACAAAAGAGACAGAAAAGGAGGTACATTATGGCAGTGGTAATTTTCATAAAGTGAAGGTCGCTACGAGACAGAACCTTGAAGAGCTCCGTCAAATGTGTACTGAGGTTACTTGCATGGATGGCACAAGAAGAGTTGATCGTATGGTTTTTTTTATATCCAAACAGACATGGCAGGTCGTTGTGGTGAGGAATTTCTCATAACCACTCAGGAAAACGTAGATTCCATGGTCGAATTTTTGATCGCCAATAACATTAAACTTACAGAGATGTTCATTTACACTAAGGCGGTCGAAGGCGGTGGAGGTCGTTCTAGAGATGGCCAAACATCTGGTATCCACGGTGGAGGTGGATTATATGAAGATCATCCCTACCAAGGTTACCATGATCCTCGTACCTACCATGAGTACCAGGAAGGAGGTGGAGGTAATCATCAATCCTTCCCATCATATGAAGAAGAAGAAGCCCAAAGGTACCATGACAACCAACAAGAAGGCTATCAGTACCAACCCGAGTACAACTTCCACCAAGGCAACGTTAGTTATCACAACTACCATTACAGAGCTGATGAATGTGCCTTTCATGAGCTGGATTAGATGGAAGATGCCCTACCATGTCAAGTTAGTGACCCTAAGGATGAAGAGGATGGCAGTGTCATTGCAGATAGCTCCGACCCTCTTGAAGGTGCTGATGATTCAGACCCCGATTCGACGCTGATGATGATGAGGTATCTCGTGAACGTGCACCTATCTCGTACTAAAATCATGTTCCAAATGAAAATTATTTTGTTGATGCCGACATGGAGCCGCTAGAGGTGCCAGTATGGGTTCACTCACTGGGTTTACGAAGGGCCAACAATTTGGTACGAAAAATGAGGTGTTGCACGCTATTGCCATAGAAGCAATGAATCAGAGTTTCGAATGGCACACAACTCATTCCGACACAAAGAGCATCATAGTTAGATGCCAAAATCAACACGATGGTTGCAAGGCTAGGGTCCGGGCCATCAAGAGAAAGAGAGTCGGCCATTGGTTCATATCCCGTGCAGTGAACACTCACACATGTGTGTCATCCATAACATCCCAAGACCATTGACAGTTGAAATCCAGGGTGGCTGTCGCAGCTATCAAGCATCTAATTGAGCAACAGCCTAACTTGAAAGTGAAAGTCATCATCACCAACATTTCTTGTCGCTATGGATATATTATTAACTATAAGAAGGCGTGACATGGAAAGCAGAAAGAAATGGCCGCTGTGCTTGGTGACTGGGAAGAATCATATGCATTCCTTCCCAGATTAATTTTTGGCATTGGAGGCGTTTAACCCCGTACCTGTTTTCTCCCTTCGCTAACAAGGTGAAGAAATTCAATCGTCGAAGCCCAGTAGAAATCATCATTTCAACGTCTTTTATGGTCATTCAAGCCATCTATTGATGGCTTTCCCTTTTGTGTGTCTGTGATGCAAGTCGATGGAACATTCCTTACCGGCAAGTAAAAGGGAACTCTACTCATCGTCAGTGGAGCAGATGCAAACAAAAGTGTCTTTCCTCTAGCTTTTGCCATTTTTGAGGGAGAGAATACCGAAAGCTATGGAAGGTTCTTCCGACAAATACAACTCCATGTCACCAGGAGGATGAACCTAACAATCATCTCGGATCGCCACGTCGGGATCAGTGCTTCCATCTTAGGCTTGGATCCAGCCTGGAAGTGGTCACAAAGATGGTACATACGGCACTTCAAGAGCAATTGGAACCATCATTTCAAGCGGAGGAAGCTTGCTGATAGTCTATGGTGGACTATGGTGGACTGGTAAGCGTTATATTTCATTGGTGAACTAATTTTGTTAATTGGGAAAATATGCTTTGAAATACAATACAACACTTATTTAGACTCTTTATAAAGAGATGCACGCCTAAGGAAATGAGGTCATAAGCGATCATCATGATCCTCCCATTTCCTGGGACAATAGGGTTATAAGCGATCCTCGGACCCGCCCCCTTTCTGTCAAAAAGACTGTGTTTCTAAGGAGATGTATACTTATCCTAAGAGTCTAACGAGTGTACTTGTATTGCTCAAATTTATTGAAAACAACCAAAATTAATATCTGCTTACCCTACGCTCTCGTTTGTATATTCATCAGCCATTGCCTACTAAGAGAAGAAATTCAAAGAGAAGATGTAGAAGATCCGTGAGTTATGCCCTGAAGGTGCGTAGTGGCTGGATCAACATGACCTAACCATGTAGACTTTACATAAGGACGGAGTTACCAGGTTGGGTATTGCCACAACGAACTCAAGTGAGAGTATCAACAACGTCTACAAGGGTGTTTTTGCAATGCCTATCGATGTCATTGTTGAGATGACATACTAAAAACGAACCAATGGTTCGTCAATCGACTCCACTGGGTTGCGAAGAGGGAGGCACAAGGTAAGGTACACTCCGATAAAGTCAAAGAAATAATGGAAAAAGACAATCGGAAGAGTAGTCGGCACATTGTCACCGTTATGAATCAAAATGCTAGCGAGTATTCAGTCGAGACTGGGCAATGGGAGGATGGGAGACATGGGGGTCATCGCCATGAAGTCAAGGTCAACTTCATGACAAAAAAAGGGGAGTGCTCTTGCTAGAAGTATCAGGGGAGAGGTTTCCCTTGTTCTCATGCAATGGTTTTAATCAAGCACAGGAGCAAAGACCCTCGTCACTTCGTTAGTCCATTCTTCAACATCGACTCACAAAAAAATTTCTATGGAAGGAGTTTTCGTGCTTTGCCGGATGAAGCTTACTGGCCAGTGTATGAAGGAAAGGCCATCATCCCACCAATCGGACTAAGGCGTGAAGCAGGTCGGCCGCGCGTAAAGATGATTCCAAACTAGATGGATCAAAGTGGAAGACCACCGCGAGGGCCAAGGCGGTGTTCTATCTACAAAGTTCCAGGGCATGATAAACGAAAATGTACTGGACCAATGGGTCCTCAAAACCCAGGGCCCGACGTGGTGAACCCGAATAACGATGCATATAATGTTTTCATCTATTTTTATATAGTTCGCAATTTGTATTTATTTCTATGGTTATGTAGTTCGCTTTTGTGTGAGGTCAAAGTCATTGTAGTTTTGCATAGTCAGTTCACAAATTGTCGCAATAGTCCAACTTGTTTAATAAACACATCACTCAAATGAACACATCACTCAAATTAAACATAACTTGAAATAAATAGAACTATTTTAACTTAAATAAAACACTCAAAGAAGTCACACTCATGCATTGGCTCGTAGATTCTCCCTCTGCTTCCTTGTTTGATGGTGATGGGTCCATCGGGTGTAACATTTGCTGGACGCGATGGCAGAGATCAAGCTGCCGTCGCAATCCATGGCAGATGCTCCGAATCTCAAAATTGGACGATGAACATTGCCCCATCAATCTCCTTCACCGCTCCTGAAGTTGCATTACAGAGGGAGCGGTAGATATGAGCTAGGCAAGCGGATGCTCAGCTCATGTTCTCTAAATCATCCCAATCACCA